TTTATGAAAATAATGGAATTATTGCGGAGAAATTTATAAAAAATTTGTAAATAATTGAATTCCTGTGAAATTTTTATTATTTATGAAAATAATTAAATGTTTGCGACGTTTGCGTACAATTTTATTAAATTTTTTTGAATAAGTAATTAAAATCTTTTGAAAAATTTTATTGAAATAGTAGATATTAAAAATTATTCAATTGAGGAAAATTTTTAAAAATAATTGAAATTTTGCAAAGAATTTTATTAAAATATTTGAAAATAATTGAATTCTTCCAAAGAATTAAAAAAAACATTTATTTAAATAATTGATTTTATCGAGGAATTGAAATTAAATTTTTAAGAATAATTACATTTTTTGAGTAATTCCTGTAAAATTGTATTAAAAATAATTAAAATCCTGCGATGAATTTTATTATTTATGAAAATAATTGAATAGTTGCTGAGAATTTTATTAAAATTTTCAAAAATAATTGAATTCCTGAGATGAATTTTTTTATTTATGAAAATAATTGAATTACTGCAAAAAATTTTGTTATTATTGAAAATAATTGAATAGTTGCTGAGAATTTTATTAAAATTTTCAAAAATAATTGAATTCCTGGCAAGAATTTTATTTTTTATGAAAATAATTGAATTACTGCGAAAAATTTTATTAAAATGTTTTAAAAAAATTGAATTTTTGTAAAAATTGCTGTTATTTTTGAAAATAATTGAATTCTTCATATGAATTTTTATAAAGATTGTTTTAAATAATTAATGTTTTCGAAATATAATAAATATTATATGAAAATTTTATTTTAAATAATTGAATACTTCTGTAAAACTTTATTTGGGAAAATAATTCAATTTTTCGGTTAATTAATTTAAAATAGTATTAAAAATAATTGGAATTTTTCGATGAGTTTTATTATTTATGAAAATAATGGCATTATTGCGAAGAAATTTATAAAAAAATTTGTAAATAATTGAATTCCTGTGAAATTTTTATTATTTATGAAAATAATTAAATGTTTGCGTACAATTTTATTAAATTTTTTTTGAAATAGTAAAAAAATAGTAGAAAAAATAAATTTTTCAATAAATAATAATCAAACTGATTATTCGATTCATTTAAGTATTTTTTTGTGGTAAAAAATAATTATTACGATTAAAAATTATTTTTGTTTCTCATTGCAAATAAAAAAAGCTACAAATAAAATATTTGTCGAAACGTTAAAATTGTGTTTTTATTATTTTAATATTTGATAATTTTCTCAATATTTTATACAAATAAATTAATTTTGTAATTAATTAACAAGAAAAGGAATAAAAAAAGATTTATTGAAGCTCAAATTTAGAGTAAATTTGTCACTCTCTGGCAATTTTGAAATTGCGCTAAGGAGTTGAAATTTCGCTAAGAAAAAAAAGGTTTGTGCACTTTTGAAAAATATGTGTAAAGAATCTCCTTTATCCAAGCAGTAGGATATAAAGTTTGTTTATTTTCTACTTGTGCTTTGAGCATCTGGTGTATTAAAGTCAGCGACTTGAGCTCGAGGCAATAGAGCGTGAAGTAAACTCATCTTGGCTTATTCGGGATTAGTGAGGATGAGTTGGAGAAATGAGTCGTCTTTTTTTCTCTCCTCTCTTTCTCTCATTTCTTTCTTTTTTTTTTTGTCTTTCTTTTAACACAAGACGACAGGACGAAATGCAGCGAAACCTTCACGTGAATCGTTCAGAAAAAAGTCGCGTCGTTGACTACGAAGAAAAAATTAGTATTCACTATTTCGCCTCCGTCTCATTCCTTTCTCTCTTTCTCTTGACTCGAAGAAATTAACCATTATCATTTTCACCAAAGCGAAACAACTCCGAATGGAATAAAAATCGATTTTCACTCTTAAAAAAAAAGAATCCAGATAAAAAAGTTCTATAGAATTTAACTAGAATCATTCTATATGAATTCTAGTGAATATTTGGGGAATTTTAGAGAAATTACAAATGATTCCAGAAATTCAATTATTTTCAAAAGTAATAAAATTGTACGCAAAAATTCAATTATGTTTAAATTTTTTTTTAAATTCTCGTCAAAATTTCAATTATTTTTAGAAATAATTAAATTCTTATCCGAAATTCAATTATTTTCAAACATTGAAATAAAATACTTAGCAAAATTTCAATTACCTTTAGAAATAATTAAATTCTTATCCGAAATTCAATTATTTTCAAAAATTTTTTAAAAATACTTAGCAAAATTTCCATTATTTTCAAAAATTTTCCTCAATTCAATGATTTTTAACATCTACTATTTTAATTAAATTTTCCAAAAGAATTCAATTATTTGAAAAAATTTTTATTAAATTCTATGCAAACATTTAATTATTTTCATCAAATAATAAAAATATCACAGAAATTCAATTATTTTCAAATTTCTTCGCAATATAATTGAATAATATTTCTAAAATAAAATTTTTACAAGGATTCAATTATTTTTCTAAATATTAAAATTCTTTTCAGGAATTCAATTATTTTCATAAATAGTAAAACTCATCGCAGAATTTTAATTATTTTTATTTTATTTTTTTTTATTTAAATAATTTAATTCTAGTAGAATTCTAGTAGAATACAATTTTCCTCAATTCAATGATTTTTAATATCTACTATTTTAATAAAATTTTCCAAAAGAATTCAATTATTTAAAAAATTGTTAATGAAATTCTACGCAAACGTTTAATTATTTTCGTAAAATAATAAAAGTTTCACAGAAATTCAATTATTTTCAAATTTCTTTTCAATGTAATTCAATTATATTTCTAAATAATAAAATTTTTACAAGAATTCAATTATTTTTCTAAATAATAAAATACTACTAAAACAAATTGAATTTTGAAGCAATTACAAATGATTACAGAAATTCAATTATTTTCAAAAGTAGTAAAATTCTTCTCAGAAATTCAATTATTTTCAAAAAATTTAAATAAAATTCTTGGTAAAATTTTAATTACTTTCAAAAAATTTCCTCAATTCAATGATTTTTAATAGTAGTAGTACTTTAATAAAAATTTCGAAAAGAATTCGATTAGTTAAAAAAATTTTTTATAAAATTCTACTCAAAACATTTAATTATTTTCATAAATAATAAAAATTTCACAGGAATTCAATTATTTACAAATTATTCTCTTAAATTATTATTCAATTATTTTCAGAAATAATAACATTTTTTACAGGGACTCAATTATTTTCATAAATAATAAAACTAAATGCTGAATTGCAATTATTTTTTATACAATTTTAATAGAATTCATCGAAAAAAGTTATCATTCTTAAAAATTTTTTTAAATTTATCAAAATTTATCAAAGAAATTCAATTATTTTAAAAACCTTTGCTACAATTTCTTTATAAGAATTTAAGTATTATTTTCAATACATTTTTCATTAAATTTCTTTGAAGAATTAAATTATTTTCAAAAATTTTAATGAAATTTTTTGTTAAACAATTCAATTTTTTTCAAAATAATTTAAATAAAATTCTTCGCAGAAATCTAATTATGTTTGAAAATTTACAAAAATTCTCGTCAAAATTTCTATTATCTTTATAAATAATAAAATTTTTCTCCGAAATTCAATTATTTTCAAAACTTTTTATAAAATTCTTGGCAGAATTTCAATTATTTTTAATACAATTTTTATCAAATTTCTCGAAAAATGAAATTATTCTTAAAAGTTTTATTAAAATTTATCAAGAGGATTCAATTATTTAAAATTTTGTTGATAAAATTCTTTATGAAAATCCAATTTCAAGAAACATTTAATTGCTAAATAAAATATTTTTTGTAGTTAAATAATTGAATTCCAGTAGAATTTTCTAATAAAAATTCATTTAAAAATGAATTTCAGTTAAAAACAAAAAAATTTGAAAATTCTCAACAAACTTATTAAAAAATTATTAAAAATAATGGATTTATAGAAAAAATTTAAAATTAACACTAAAAAAAATTTAATTTTGGAGAAGTTACAAATTGTTGCAGAAATTCAATTGTTTTCAAGAATAATAAAATCCTTTGCAGAAATGTAATTATGTTGAAAAATAGAAAAATTCTTATGAGAAATTCAATTATTATCATAAATAATAAGACTCAATGCAGAATTTCAATTATTTTTAATAAAATTTTTAATCAACTTTTTCGGAAAATTTTATTTAAAATCGTCAAAAGAATTAAATTATTTAAAAATTTGTTGATAAAATTCTTTGAGAATTCAATTTTAAGAAACAGTCAAATGTTCAATAAATTATTTTTTTGTATTTAGATAATTGAATTCTGGCGAAATTTTCTAATAAAAATTGACTTAAAAATTAATTTCAGTTAAAATTTTATATAATAATTGAATATTAAAAGCAATATAGCGTGAAATAATTGAATTTTTTAGAAATATTTGAATTTTCTAGAAATAATTGAATTTTAAAATTAATTTTTTTTGAAAAAGTGTAATTGAATTTTTTTTATATTATTTGAAGTTTTTATTTTCTAATATATATTTAATTGAAGAATTTACGAATAATTCAAATTTCGTAAAATTGAATATTCCAAATGAATGGATTTTGAAAATTGTTGAAGAACTTTTTCGAAAATTAATTGATTTAAAGAAAAATTTTAGTAAAAACTTCTTAAAAATAATAAATTGAAAAATGAAATTGAAATGATGAAAATAATTTTGTTGGAAAGGAAAAATGGTTGCATATTTAGTGGTTCTTTTTTTAATTTACAAAAAAACACATTTAAAAAAAAAAAATTCGAAAAGCTTTTAGGCGAGAATTAATAAAGGATTTGAAACTATATTGGGGAGGGAAAAGTATGAGCTTTCTATTAAAAGTGAAGAATTTTTCTAAGCGAAGGAGAGTATAAAGGAATAACGATGGTAATTTTACGAGAAACAATTTTTCTTTGGGAATCACGTCATACTTTTTCTTGGAGGAAAAATTGCGGGAGCTTTAACGTTTATAATAACTATAAGGGAAGTACTCACTTTGTTTTTAAAGTCCAATATCGTGTGGAAAATTTTGGAGGTGACGTTGAAAATAATCAAACTGCCTTTCTCATCTCTATAAAGGATCTCGTCATCTGGAAAATAAATTAATTTTCACAATACATTTTTGTTTTTTATTTTATTTTTTGAACATTTTTCTTAAATACTAACCGCTTTTTACCGCAGTAAAATTCAACTAAAAAAAAAAAATTAAATTGAACGTTGGACGAGAAAATAAAGTCCAAAAGTACAATTTTCAGATTTTTAATAGCAAATTTTACCAGGGCCACAGTAAATTTTACTAATAATAAAAAAATCAATGAAAAAAATAAATAAATTAAAATTAAATTAAATTAAAATTAAAATTAAAATTAAAATTAAAATTAAAATTAAAATTAAAATTAAATTAAATTAAAATTAAATTAAATTAAATTAAATTAAATTAAATTAAATTAAATTAAATTAAATTAAATTAAATTAAATTAAATTAAATTAAATAAATTAAATTAAATTAAATTAAATTAAATTAAATTAAATTAAATTAAAATTAAATTAAATTTAAATTAAAATTAAATTAAAATTAATTTAATAAATTAAAAGTAAATTAATTAAATAAATTATCAGTTACAAATAACTTGTTATGTTATTATTAGAATTATTTAATAGAAATTATTGTTTGTTTTCGTTTTATATTTTATTGACAAGAAATCTGATATTAAAGTATTTCTTTTTCTTTTTGTTCCAGGTGAGTTAAACAACATGTTTCCTCTCTAGTTTATTTCGTGAGTATATAAAATAAAATAATAAAATAAATTAAAAATAAATAAATATTACTTACAAAACGAAATTTTTTGATAGAAATAAAAATTCTTTGATACAAAGGAAAATTATTTTATAGAAAACAAAATTGTTTTGATAAAAAACAAAATTATTTGATACAAATTAAAATTATTTGTTTGAAATAAAAAAAATAATTTGCCTCTATCATCGTTGATCCAGAAAATTGTTATTTTTCGTCTCGATTTTTTTTAAATCTTCAATTTACTTTCGAAATTAAATTCAACGACTCAGATTAGTTAAAAGAGTACTCAGTTAAAAAATGTTAAAATAAGATATAAAAATTGAATTTAGAGATTAAAATTTGAAACAAGTGGAAAAAATGAAATAAAATTGGCAATTATTGGTATAAAGTAGAGAAGTGTATGTTTAACAGATTGTGGGAATAAAATTCAAGGGAGGAAATCGGTCATGGAGGATGGCTCAGTTGGGGCGTGAAATCAAGTAGTAGTTGCCCGCTATATTCTGAATTTCCATGCAAACAGCAAAACGTCAATGCGTCACGAGTATAGCTCCGGCCAACGTTTTCGGTTATCCGGATATTAACACGTTACATAAGCTCTCTGCACACACCAACACACACATATCGCAATTCTACAAACGTAAATTGTTGCACGTAATGCCTGACCAGACGTTCGTACGATCCTCTCCACGAATGTGCTTATCAACTGCCTGTAGTCTGCAGCATTGTTGCCTCATTTTCATGTAAATTCTATATATATAGACGAATCATCGATTATTTTAAACTATTCTACACGCTCCTCAAAATTAATCATCAAAAATACTAACTTTTTTTCAATTTTTCTTTTTCAAACAAACGAAAAATTCACAGCTCTTCTTTTCTTCACAATTTTTATTTTATTCCGATTTTTACTATTTCACCGAGAAGTTTATTTCTAAAATTTATTTTTCTGAATTTCATTGAATTAGATTGAAATTAAAGTATTCAGTAACACTGAATTAAAATACCAGTCAATTAAACTACTTGTAAATTAGATTACCGATAAATTATACTACTGTTAAATTAAATTGCCGATCAATTAAATTACCATTAAATTATACTACTGCAGGGCTCGGATCGACTTTAAGACCCAAAAAAATGTCGCTTTAGTCGCATAAATTCACAACAAAAGTCGCGAAAAGTCGCATGAAATTTCCGAGAAAGTCGCAAAAAAGAAAAAAGTCGCATAAAATTTTAGAAAAAACGATAAAAAAAAGAGGCATTAAATTGTAAAAAAAAAAAAATGGCAAAATGTTAGTGGGGTTTTATTAGAATTGAGTGTAGAATGTAACAAAACATTTTTATGAAAATTATTTTATTTCTATAAAATATCAAGAAAATTATCAATCCTCCAAATCAAATATTAAAATAATAAAAAGATAAAAACACAATTTTAACGTTTCGACAAATAATTTGTTTGTAGTTTTTTTTTTATTTGCAATGAGACACAAAAATAATTTTTAATCGTAATCATTATTTTTTAAAGCAAAAAAATACTTAAATGTATCGAATAATCGGTTTGATTATTATTTATTGAAAAATTTATTTTTTCTATTATTTTTTTATTATTTCAAAAGAAATTTAATAAAATTGTACGCAAACGTCGCAAACATTTAATTATTTTCATAAATAATAAAAATTTCACAGGAATTCAATTATTTACAAATTTTTTTATAAATTTCTTCGCAATAATACCATTATTTTCATAAATAATAAAAATTTTTTTCTAAGGAATTAAATTATTTTCATAAAAATTAATCCAAAATTCTAGAAAATAATAATTGAATTAAAATGATGAAAATAATTTTGTAGAAGTTACCTACAGTAAAAATTTTCTTATAATATAAAATAATGATTTTATCACTCGATCATCTTTAATTATTATAAATTGTTTAATTTCAAAAATGTTTGAATTTGAATCTTTTGAAGAATTTTAATACCTATGGAATAATAATAATAATAAAATATTTATTTAAAAAAGAACTTATTGATGTTTTCGAATAATTTAAAAGAAATCCCTAAATAAATGTAACAGAACTTTTTTTTGAGTAAAATTTTTTCCTTTATTTTCTAAAAATTTAAAAAGTTTCAATTTCAATTTCAATTAAAATTTTTAATTGTCAAATAGAATTTATAAACAATTTTTTCCTTTAAAAATAAAAAAAAAATCTTAAATTATTTTTTATAAATAATAAAATTCTTCTAAAAAATTCAATTATTTTCAAAAATTTTAATACCTACAATTTTTTTGTAAGATTTCAATCATTTATTTAAATTTTTAATTAAATTCATCGAAAGAATTTTTTTTTTTGGAAAGAATTAAATTATTATCAAAAATTTCAATGAAATTCTTCGAAACAATTCAAAAATTTTATTCAAATTTATCAAAAAAATTCAATTATTTTTCACAAATAATAAATACAAATAATAAAAATTACTCGAAAGAATCAACAACAGGGTTGCCACAGGTCAGGGATTTTTATTAAAGTAGTGGAAAGAATTAAATTTGCAGGATTCATAATAAGGTTTATTTAATTTTTTAATATATATTTAATTAATTATTAAAAATCATGAATTTATAAAAGAATTTTAGTTAAAAACACTAAAAAAAAATTGAATTTTAGAGAAGTTACAAATATTTGCAAACATTCAATTTTATTCAAAAATTTTTAAAAATTCTAGTCAAAATTTCAATTGTCTTTAAAAATAATAAAATTCTTCTCCAAAATTCAATTATTTTTATAAATAATAAAAATTTCACAGGAATTCAACTATTTACAAATTTCTTAACAATAATTCAATTATTTTCATAAATAATAAATTTTTTTACAAAAATTTAATTATTTTCATGAATAATAAATCCCAGCATAGAATTACAATTATTTTTAATACTATTTTAACCGAAAACCACAAAAAATGTAATTATTTTTCCGAATAACAAAAATTTCATAGAATTGAATTGTAAAAAAATGGATTTGAAAATTCTCTAGGAACTTTTGCAAAAATTATTAAAAATAATTGACAGTTGTTCATTTATTTCTTTAGAAGAATTTTAATAAAGTTTTTGAAATTAATAACATTTTTTGAAGAGTTTACTTAAATTTGTATTAAAAATAATTGAAATCCTGTGAAGAAATTAATTATTTAGGAAAATAATTGAAGTCCTGCAACGAATTTTTATTACATTTTTTTTAATAATTTAAATCCTGTGAGAAATATTATTTATGAAAATAATTTAATTCTTGCAACGAATTTTATTAAATTTCTTTTAAATAATTGAAATCCTGTAAAGAATTCTATTATTTATGAAAATAATTGAATTCTTGCAACGAATTTTATTAAATTTTTTTAAATAATTGAATTCTTTTGAGAGATTTTATTAAAATAGTAGATTTTGAAAATATTTGAATTTCAGCGAAGAATTTTATTATTTGTGAAATGTAATTGAATTCTTGCAAAAATGTTTAAAAATAATTCCATCTTTCGAGGAATTTATTTAAAATTTTATTAAAAGTAATTTAAATCCTAGGAAAAATTTTATTATTCCTGTTAATAATTGAATTCTTACAACGAATTTTATTACATTTTTTTAAATAATTGAATTGATGTGAAAAATTGTACTACTTATAAAAATAATTGAATTTTTGAGAAGGATTTTATTAAAATTTTTGTAAATAATTTAATTTTTTTGTTTAAAAAATTTTATAAGAATTTAAATTATTATAAAACATGAAGATATTCTTAAAAGTTATTGAATTTTAAAAGGTTTAAATTTAAATTTTTTTAAATCTCAATTCCTATGGAAAAATAATATTAATTAAATATCTTTATTGAAAAAAGAAGTTATTGATGTTTTCGAATAATTTTACAATTAGAGAAATTCGGAAATAAATGTAATAGAACATTTTTTTGAGTATCTAATCATTTTGAGAGTGAATCAGAATAATCTTTAGGGTGACGGAAAAAGTCAAATTTTTTTTGAAAATTAGGGAAAAGTCAGGGGAAAAGAAAATTAATTTTTTGTGCCAATCCTGAACAAATTTTGTTTCCAATAAAATAATTTAGTTTTGCATCAAATAATTTTTAAATTGTGTCAAATAATTTTTCTTGTATCAACAAATTTTTCTATAAAAAATATTTTTCTATCAAATAAATGTTTATTTGCATTAAATAAATATTTATTTCTATCATTTAGTTTTTTATTCTTGTCAATATCAAAATAATTTTTAATTGTATCAAATAAATATTTATTTTTCT